GGGGGGGGGGGGGGGGGGGGGGGGGGGGGGGGGGGGGGGGGGGGGGGGGGGGGGGGGGGGGGGGGGGGGTTCCACCATGTTTCGTAAAACACCGAGGTGCACTGCATCAGCTCTACAATACATCTCCCCTTCCGATTTTTTGTTGTTTTTTTAGAGAGGTAGCCTACAATGTACCCTATCGTCCGATACTTAAAAACACTTCAAATTCGTTCTCACGCCCGAGAACGAGCTGTTGGCGCGAGAGGTGGCTTACGCGTTCCTTAATTGGCCGGTTTACTCTTTGCAGAAAAAACGTTTGGCTCATAGGTATCTCGTTTCCTACCTGCTGTACCCTGCCCAAAACAGAGGCGTTGAGACAAACAGCATGCCAGTCACCTGCGCAGTCGATTGACCAAGAATCCTCTAGCTGTCATGCAGCCCACTTACTGTAGGCAAGTCTACTGCATGAGGTTGCCTTTGAATAGGCGCCACCCCACAACACTGCATCGATCGATATCCGCTCAATGTTCGGAAAATGTTGATTTGCTGCAACTCGGATCCGTCATGTAGGGGGATGCCAAGACATCAACACTATTCCGCGACATCTGTACGTGCAATGTGGTGGCGGGGACAGACCGCATCACGACAACCGTGGCACTCGCAACAAATGACGTACAGCAGTGTGGGTTAGATGCGTAACAATACGATGTCAATGCTTCTCGAACAATACTACTGTATTACAGTACACTGTACCTGGAAGCTTGTCGATGCATTTTCATAACCTAACGGCATTAACCCCGGGATCGATGTTTGCCTAGACATTTACCCATTGTACATAAATTCGGCGAGCAGACCGATGGATCAGCTCCTGGAACGCTGACGAGATGGACAGCATCGCACACAGATGCAAAAGAAACTCACGCTCCGCCAATAGACCACTAAGCTCGGGACCGTTGGGTGCAGAGGCCCTCCAGGAACTAGTCAACCTACAGCGTACCATCAAGTGAGCGAGTTTGGATCAAACATTGCGCTGATACAGCACGGGGGGAAAGAACAACGGATTAGGGAAGGGCCAATCTGGGAGAGGCTTTATTCAAGCTCAGTTCGGTCCTCTACTCGTCGCTCCCTGTTGCATGATGTTGCAACTTGAAATATCGCAACGTACTACCAAAGCGCATGTAAATAAAGCTGCCGCGGAGGGATAGACGGCGGCTAGCCATGAAATGAGCGCGACTGGCGAATTCTTCACGTAGCTGTCCGAGCTCCTAGACAATGGCCAACCCACCCGTGCTACGCGCTACGAAACAGGGCATGCGTATGCACTGCTCCGAAGCATCAACCGGAGGAGGACGGAACCGACCGAGTACACTGCTGTATCGTTTTCAACTCTCTGGTTGTTGTTTTTCAGAACCTCCCACCTGTTATTTTTGCAACTAGCATAAGTCGGGCTGCGCGTGCGTTCAAACCTGACGTCTCCTCCTAGTACCAGGTCGGTGCAACAGTGTACGAATGAGGCGGGACAAGGAGTAACGTCCAACGATGCGAAGCAAAGACTAGAGTCGGCAAAGTTCGCGTGCAGAGCGGCCTGCCTGAAGGCGATATCTTGAAACGGAACAGGACCAGGTGTGTGCCCAAGGCGTCCTTCCATGGAAACTTCATAGGCAAATGCAGGTACTTCAGTTGCATGTAGGTGTACCTGTGGTACTGGGGTGAACGCGTATGCGCATGCTGAGTGCATACGTTCCCCCCTCCAGACAATGGACCAGCGGTTCAGCACCAACAATGCCGCAACTGACAGCTTCGTTGTTAATAGATCTAATCATGTCCACGGTTGAGAGATTTGGTAGACTGCCTGCGGGTGTATTTTCGGGCATCGATAACGCTCGTTCAACAATCGGCTACGAATTGACTTGTGACTATCGGTTGAAGCAAGAAATACCGAACTTCTCCTCCCGTGCTCTTCTTGCTTCTCGGGGTGCACTTTCCGAGCAGATGCTATCCTCGACGCCGCGAGGGTTGTCGTGGAGATAATATCGCCTACCTACACGGACAAGGAGGTCAATCTTGTGAAGACCTTCAGGCAAGAACATGGATTAGAAGCGTTGGCGTACATGTATTTTTTTTTTTCCTCCCATCATTGGACTCTGTCGTCTGCCCCTCTGGCCCCTATCCTCCACTTCTACTAGTGAGACGACCCAACCGGGGTCACATAGGAGGGGGGGGCTACACCCCCTCCTGCGGTTCCTGCCCGAGGTATTTTCATCGCGAGAAGGGTACAGCAATCCCGTCCCTCGCGACTTACGAAGTCGATTATGGTTTACTAACAACGAGCTTTGCAGCGCGTCGCTTTCATCCTAGACCAGGATTTATTTAGTGAGAAAAAACTCACTCTGTCGGGACTCGAACCCATGACCTGGCCCTTGCAGGCTGCGAGGTTACCCACTAGACCACCGGGGCGACCGGTGTGTGTTGTAGTTTGTTGGATACGCTGTATGGTCCATGCACAACAATTTTCCGCTGTTTCCCCAGTACCAGGGACACTTCTCTCGGGGTAGTTGTGGTTGTTCGAAAATCCAAAAGCACCCGAAAACGTCCTGTCTATTCGATGTACTCGTAGCATAGTATGATGGTTGAGATGTTATGTACGTACGTACGAATATTGCAGTGATGAGATGCGGAGGAACAGGAACTTTCTACATATTTTCCTTGGTTGTGAGAGGCTTTTGGTGAGGATTCAGAGAGATTCGTTGTGTGAGAAAGCATGAAGGCGTGACTCGATACCGTGATGGTTTGACGAGCACGAGCACGCCCCCGATTA